TTGGCTTCTTTCAGCTTCTTTTCTCTGTTCTGAAGGAGAACCAGTTTAAACCACAAAGAATACATGAGATACAGGCAAACAGTGGTGTTTGTCTCCCATATGATCTCCTTTGATGTGCCAAATACATGTGACAGAAAAATCCATGACTGCTGCCTGTTCAAATTTGCTGAATGTTAACGCTAGTTCAGGTTTTGTTCAGGTAACCTGTAACAGTATGAAAGATGTGAGAAACTCTGGATCCCAAATAACAGATGTGATCTCTTCCTATGTGTCATATCTGGATCAGAAAAAAAACATAATCATGTTTAAATGAATCAGAATGTTAGGTTGTATTTTTCTCTGATTCCTGGCAGGCATATATTAGAATGATGGTCAAATGACGGAGTCATACTAGCAGCCCTGGATGCTCTACTTAGACACAGTGTTGCTTTTAGCTACTGCTATTTCCACACTGACAATTCCCAAGATACACACAATGTTACAATATTCATCATCTTTAATGGCATTGGTACACAAAGGGTTGAACAGTGGTTTAATTATGATTTATAAAATTGACTAGTTTCCACTGAGCAGTGTAACTGCTTATTGTGAAGTGTCTTCAAGACCAGCCTGAAGCATATTTCATTAGGAACTTCGGGAGCAGGACCAAACACGCTCCTTCCGGTTCTTATCTATATATGTTCCCCCAGTTCTACAAGCTGTTCATTCTCGTCTATGTGCCCCTCCCTCCCCTTTTCAATTCTTCTATTTAGTACATGGGGATCTGCTAGGCCCGGGAGCCACCGCCAGTCCCCTTTGAGGCCTTCCCCAAACCGCAGCTCAATTCACATCCAAGCCGTTCACCTTTATCTACTAAAACGCTGTCAAACCTAAAATGCGGATGTGGGCCCAGCTAGTGAAAAATATATATAGATCCATAGGGGCTGGGGTCTAACACAGCAGGCAAAAGGCTGTGTAAAGATGCCGCTGAGGCAATCTAGCACATAACAGCAGGATGCAAGATGCTAGCAGGCAGGCTGCCATAACCAAGTGGCCGGCCGGCATAGTATACAGAGTATACATACAAGCTGGAGAAATACCAAGGGCTCAGAGATGAGCTCGAGATGATGTGGAGGGTGAAGGTAACAGTCGTCCCAGTGGAGCTAGGTGCGGTGACTCCCAAGCTAGGCGAGTGGCTCCAGCAGATCCCGGGAACAACATCCGAGATCTCTGTCCAGGCCAAGTAGCTGCTCACATCTTAATCAAATGTAGTACTTTGTAGAGGCTTTTTTAAAATTATATATTTTTAAATTCATTTGTTTGTTTTTGCTTTTAATGTACTTGTTGTTGTTTTTTGTATTGTTTAAATTGTATAAATCATTAGCGATCAACACATCGAAGGAGTCCCATTTGTGGTTCCTGCATTATCTGTAACAGCAGTTTGTTGACAAGGCTGCCATGCTGAGAACCAAGCAGACAAAACTTTTAAAAAACATTTAATACCAGGTTAATACTGGAGGATCAGGTGCACACGGTAAATAGCTTTTATATAGTGCTTTTCTACTCTACTTCTACTTGAACACTCACAGCACTTCATTCACAAAATCTGTTTTTCTACCCCAGTGCTGTCTATCTAACATTCACGCTTCAACTGATGGCAGTCACAAGATGATCTGCCTGACTCCTGGATCTGTGTATTATGAAATTTTAAAGAAAATCACGTGTTTTTCACACACTCAAATGTTGTGGATTAGGCTTGCATGACCTGCGACTGTGCCTCTGTTTGGTAAGTTTAATCTTCTGTTTTGAAGGTGTTTTATTCTAAAGTGTGATTTTCAGTTCTCTCTGGAAGCTGTGGAAACAGTCACCTAGCAAGCCAACATGCCTGTGTTAAAGGCTCAATTGGGCTGAAATAAAAGAGAGGGACACAGAGGGAGGTAGAATAAAATAGTTGCCAATTTGTTTGCTGTGTGTTGGAACTGTACTAGACTTCATTCTGAAGCGCCTGACAAGCAGGTGAGATCAAAGTCATGGGGACAAAAGCAGCTCAGCAGCGATTTGTCAGGAGACGAGAGCCAGCGGTCGGGTTCAGCCCTCTGATCACCGGCTCACTAAAGAAATCTGCCCATGAGAAAAAGTACAGCAGAAAGGGTTCAAAGGTCATTTTGATTTGCTCTGGATTACTGGTACCTCGTAAAAAGGTGGGAAGGGAATTTTGGGAGGGAAGAGGGGCACGAAAGGAACTGGCTAATAACCTTTGTATTATTGTAAAAAAGAAACCCTTTTGTGCAAAGAGGGGTTTTTGAGGGCAGTGTTGGAGGGGAGAATTTGGGGACGTCAATTAAAAAGGAGCCCTGAAATCCTTGCTTTGATTCGTGAATGAAGGGGAGAAAAGGGGAAAGTTAAAATGTATGCTTTTGGCTTTTGTGTAAGAGCACTTCACATGACTGGGTTTGGATTCATTTGTTAAGTGGATGATGGCAAAAGAAAATGTAAATATTTCAGTTGGGCAAATATTCGGGAACTGGCCCAAGTTTTTTCATGAGGCAAATGCACATTTCAGTTTCTTCTTTCTTCTGAAAGCAGGTGTGAATGCATTCAAGATATAAAAAGGACCTGCCGGGAACTCCAGTCACCGTGGCTACGAATACAGCGTGCAGTTAACTTATTTGATCAATTAGTTAACTTTGTTTTGTGCAGATAACAGGACATATTTCCCAAGGCTCTCCCACACAAATATGTTTTATATTTGTGTGGATGCTAAATTCTTATGTAGCACTTTTCTACTCTCCCAGAGCACTCAAAGCGCTCTATGCAACATGCCATATTCACAAGCACTTTTCTTCTAAGCTTTCAACAAATGCATACACCAATATGATGCAACTTGGGGTTAGCATGTTGCCCAAGGATGCTTGACATGCAAACTGGAGGAACCAGGGATCGAACCACTGACCTTCCGATCAGTAGATGACCTGCTCTACCTTCTGAGCTACAGCCAGGATGCACTATGGCTTTTTTCGATATTTTAATTAATTAATTTATTTATTTATTGACTCTTACATTCATTGTTAACTATTTTCTGAAGCAAATATGTGGAATGTATCCAACAGCTGTGATTTTCCAGCCTGGCCGTTTCCCGTGTTTGAAGAAAGATCGGTACAGGTTAAGTACAAGTTGGCACCATATTTTGCTGCCCATGCTATGGAAATTGTGGAAAATGTGAGCTACTTGGAAGCCACAAGCTATAATGACTTTAGCAGCATATCGTCAAAAATTAAAGACTGTGAATAAAACTACTTGATTCTATACTTTGTTCATCTACTCTTGGTTGAATTTTCCAATTAAAATATCATACAGCGAGCTGCCTGACCAAGAACTGAGAGTTAGTGTCCACCTCAGGTTTGCTGGTAAGGCACTCACACCTAAACATCTTTAAATGTAACAGCTGACTTGTTTTTCTGTAAAAGTCATATCACAGTCTTACCGAGCTGAAGGAACATTTACGTAACACTCAGTAGAACATGCACACAGTCTGCCCTGCAGTTATATTTGTCTCCTGTTGTGTAACTTTCCTGCGAGATCTCACTTTGGTTTCAGAGCACAGACTTACCTGTGGTTCCTCGGGCTCCCAAAGGTAGAATGGGAGACAAAGCTCCTCCCCTGTGGAATCAGCTCCCAGTTTGGATTTAAGATCGAAAACATTTGTTTCCTGAGGTTTAAAGTTGGATCTGTAGTTTATGCTTCATCCTCGTTTTCCTTTCTCTCCCATACCTTTCTGCAGGTATGTACGGATTCATCAGCTGCTGCTGGCTCCATCAGCCTGCCAGGCATTTACTGCTCTATTGTTTGCTTCTTTTTTTCACTTCTTTCTTGTCATCCCAGCTGCTGGAGTCAGACGACTCTGGGCCTTTCTGTTTCTCTTCCCCACTGTCACTGTGGAGGATTTACTGGAGTTCTCTTGGGATGTAAAGCACCTCTGTATGGGTTTTGCTGTGACAGGCAGCACACCAACATCTCACAGCAAAAAGATTTGGCCCTGTACTCAGCGGACTCCTGTCTTTGTAAGCATGGGCAAAACGTATGACCTCCTTTTATTTATTTTGCACTGATGTGTTTCACTTTGAGCTCAATATGAGGGCTTCATATGTATATTTGATTTACTGAAATAGGTTTTGAGTAACTTTGTGAATCAACTTGCTGATGGACATATACAAGTTTTGGCCTGCTATTTGACAAAATGATGGTATTCAAACTAGAGCAGGGGGCTGTCCCAGGTACTAACTCTGCTCGAATGCATGTGTACACAAAATCTAACTGAAGAATACAGCTCAGATTTAGCTGAATCATAACTGACACTTTAACCTAAAAACAACAACACACACTTCTTTAAATGTGAAGAAGAAATTGTGTATGTGGCTCACAAATTGCAAGCATTTGCCCTGCTTATTGCTGAGATGCTTTGTGGGCGGTGTGCAGGGGAGCATAATTAAAATAGTTTCTGAGAGAAACAGCACACCACATCTAAGGTTCCACCCTCTTCCAGCATTTAACCACATCAAGAGCGTCTCACTTAGAAACGGCCACCAGAACAACCTCTGATACACACGGCCTGGCTGATGTTTTGGTGTGTTGTCTGACTCCTGAGGGGTCTTTGGAGGCATAAATTGCACACATTTGTAATTAAAAGAGTTAGCTTTTCTGATCATCAGAGTAAATAAAGTGACACGGGCAGCTAGCTGGGTGATGTATGGGAGGGGAAGACAAATTAACGTCTGCTCTCTGGGGGATTCTCAGCAGAGGCCTTCATAGCAGCAGTGGAGCAGTGCCAAAGGGCAGAGAGATTTGTAGATGATGGTGCTAATTACCAGAATGAAAACCATAATGTGACCAAGATGGAAGCAATTTAGGCAGTAGTCATTTAGCCTGCTGCTCTTCCGCCCACCGGCTGCTGCCTAGCCAGGGCTGGGGCATTAGGATGGGAAAAGTCTGGGCCAATCCACTGCCTGGGTAAACAATGAAAAACTAACGCACAGCAGAGAGCTTCTGTGGTGTAAAGAGCAAATGGAGAGAGGCCCGTGACACAATGTCCATTTGTCTTTCTTAATCTATGCTTCCAGGTCAAGAGGAGTGTATAAATGCTGAGCGCATAGTCGACTGGAAATGTTTAATTCCCCGTCATCCTACTCGGGAGTGTCTTTGTGGGATGTCTGAAGGTGCTGGTTCAAGCTGAACACGCTTGATATTCACCTCAGCTTGCCATGATGCATGCTTGGCAAGCACCTGTTAAACCGGGAAGAACAAGGACACGCAGATGTGGACCACCCAAAAGCTGAAAAGGCTAACATTTCTTTTGCTTCAGAATGCGGCTGATAAAGTCGTTTCTGGGGGGACCCAACTGAATCTTACAGCGTGAGAAATTAGATGAAGCCTGTGGTTGTTCAGGATGTCAGAATTCAAAAGCTGAATGCTTTCCGCTTTTGTTTTTAAGGTGAGGACCGGGTTTAGCGGCAGTCTTATTCCTCACCTGTTGCGGTGGCTGGCCGAGCATATCTATATAATTTGGGATGTCTAATTGCTCTTTTAGGACGTTTATGCTCTTGCCACTGTGTAATTTTATCCACGCCGCTGTCTCTCACTTCACACAGGGCCGATACCTTTTTGTCTGCCCTTTTCCTTTGTATCAATTGGTTGGAGTTCAGCCTATTGTCGCCACAAGCTTCTTTTATATCTGCGCTCACTCTGAGCAGAGGCGCTCAGTCGGGTCCACGGGAGGGCTTTTCAGCTGCAGAGGCGAGGATTCCACCTCGGAGGCGGGTGTGCTGTCAGAGCTGCCTGTGGTGCTCGGATGCGCGCAGGGCTGAAGCTCTTCGGCTGTGTTAAGACCCCTTAAATCACTTTAATGGGACCCCGAGTGTTGGGCAGGAATTCTGCTGTTTTTTGCTACAGTCGTCGCTTCCCGGCCATGCCACAATGCTGGTGATAGCTCTGCTGCTGTTGCTGAGCCTGTGGGACCCGGTTAGTCCACGGCCCCGCTGCGCTTCGGGCCAGGCTTGCGACCCCCGGCATCGGAGAGACGCCGGGGGGCGCGGAGGAGTGTATGAACACCTCGGAGGAGCGCCGAGACGCAGGAAACTTTACTGCGCTACCAAATATCATCTGCAGATCCATCCTAACGGCAAAATAGATGGCTCGCTGGATGAAAACAACCCGCTCAGTGAGTACTGAAGTTTGAAAGGAAGAGACGTGTAAGCGGAGAGCTGTGACACTGTGTGTGCGTGAGAGAAAGAAAGAACCCATGTCATTACAGCCAGCCATGTGTGTGTATAATGTATATATAATGTATATATATGCACCGATTGCGTGTAATATATACACACAATCGGTGCAGTGATTCCAGGAACAGCGTCCGAGATCTCTGTTCAGAAGAGCGCAGTCCCGGGAACAGCTAAGAAACTGAGCCGGACCCTAAAACTGCATACACACACACACACACACACACACACACACACACACACACACACACACACACACACACACACACACACATGTGTTCACGGAGCGGTGAACTGAATGAGCAAGTTAAGCAAGAAAAAACTAGTTTGTTCATATGTTTGAGTTTCTTTTCGAGACATTTTGAGAAAACTTTTTTCATTTTAATTCATTTTTTTTCTAAATAGCGGAGAATAGAAATTAATACATTTACACACATTTATACAGAAATATGGTGACATTTAAGAGAGAGAAATGTTCTATTAAACATGTCCAACACAGAAATACAAAAATGTTACTGTTGTGTGTATCACAGGCATCATGGAAATCACAGCAGTGGACGTTGGTGTTGTGGCCATAAAGGGGCTCTTCTCTGGGAGATATCTGGCCATGAATGATAAAGGACGGCTGTATGCATCGGTGTGTTCAGCACACACACACACACAAACACACACACACACACACACACGCACGCACGCACGCATCTGACATGTTGGGAATGGGTCAGAGCTAGTGGAGAACACACAACAAAACATGCCTTAATTATGCCATTAATTCAGCTCAATTCATTTTTATTTCTATAGCACTAAATCACTGCAACAATCAGGCAGACAGCACAGGGCCTGACACATGAGCAGCCTCGTCCTTTGCCCTGCTTTAGTGTCACATTGTCATGTTTAGCTACTGAAAAGTAAGTGACCGTAAACTTAGTCTGCGCCACCAAAGAGGAGTGAATTTCACCGCTCCTGTTTCCAGAAAGACTAACGTGCTTCGTTCACACATCCATTCTCCTCTCTAGGAAGTGTTCAACAAAGAGTGTGAGTTTGTGGAGCGAATCCACGAGCTGGGGTACAACACCTACGCCTCCCGCCACCACTCCACAGAGCACCCTGCTGCACCGGGAGGCGGCGGCAGCAGCAAGCGCCGGGCCAGCGCCAAGAGACAGTGGTACGTTTCCATCAACGGCAAAGGGCGGCCACGGCGAGGCTTTAAAACCCGAAGCACGGACAAAGCCTCGCTCTTTCTGCCTAGGGTGCTTGGTAACAAAGACCATGAAATGGTGAAGCGGCTGAGGGAGAGTCCGGGGCCACATCACCCTGCCCATCACCACAGCCGCCGTGCTGAGCGCCGGAGACGCCGGCATCGCGCTGGGAAAGGCTGGGCCTGACAGCCACACGTGTCGGCAGACAGTTGGAGGACAGTCTGTGATTTGCCCAAATATGGACCTTAATCCTGCCACATACTGTAGCTTGACAGCAATGGAGGATGTGGATGAATGATTTGGGTTCTTCCTCTGGATCAGTGGAAGTTTTTGTTCACAGAAGACTTGAAGTGCTGTGGCTCAGACTAAATGCTCCAGCTTGAGGAGACTCGCACACCCCCAGCCTTAGAATTAGCTGTTTACTGACTCCATGCGTCTTCAAACTGCTGCCGTCTTGTAAGCAAAGGTGTTCGTAAGTTCACCATCAACTTCACACAGAAGAAAAACCTTTGAAACGTGGTTGTGTTTTTGTAAATATTATTGGCATGTACAGCAGCTTTAGAGCTTTTCATTTATCAAAAGCTGAGATAACAAAGACAAAATCGTATTTTGCTGAAGCGCTACCAAACAAAAAGGACACTGAAGAGCAGACATCACAGAGAGAGGCACTTTTCACAGTATGACGCAAAGATCAAATCAGACTAACTGCTCACTAGCTGTATGACGTTCTTACAATGTGGTGGTCTACTGTTTAGAAAGTGAAATATTTTACTAAATCTATGGATATTTATTTGGTTCCTGTGTTGTAAGTTATTGATATAACTATTTCTGCATTATAGCCATTGTGCTGTTGTTTCTTAGTGTCCACTGATTCCAACATAAAACACAATCCAGCAGTTCTATCATCTGTTCATCAGAAATGTCTCTGAGAAATGTGTTTGTACCTGAATCTGATGCAGCTGATGCAGCTGTGGACACCATGCAAATGTTTTGGGATTTATTTTAGTTTTTTATTGCTTCGAAAATTTTATTTATATAAGATGTCCTATTTTTATATGTGGAAAACCTAAAAAGCAAAATGTTCGTTTTTATTGGCCACAGATCTTTGAAGGCAGCAATGTCTGAAATGCACAGTAGGAACTTCTGACAGGTGGTGTAAAACAGCAGGATATTAGCCCAGACCCAAGTAGCTAATGTTGTTTTGGAGGATTCTCTTTGAAATTAAAGCTCAGATTTGTATTTCATTTTTAGCTGTACACACGGCAGTCTGTCCGTCCCTCTCTCCCTGCTGCAGTATCCGCACGCTACCATAACAGGAACAAGTACAGCAAACTTTTATTTCAAGGACTTTTTCAGATTTTCAGGTTTTATCACACTTGACTCACATCTGTCGGTAGCTACGTATAAAGCCTTGTCATTCTATACCTGTAGGCACGGAAGGTTTCCTGGCCAGGACAATACCTCCTCCCAGGGGGGCTTGGAAGCAATGCCGCCTGAGACATTTGGCCTTTTTTTAAGACCAAAAGCTGCATAGCTGATAAGCAAGGCTGGCCCTTCTCAGAGCAGAAACTGTGTCATAGAAAGTGCAACACCTTGCTGTGGTTTGTCATAAACTCTAACATTACTCATCAGGAATGTTGGGCTTCAGTGAGGTCAGGGCCTATTGTGGCCCCTGCCCCTCCCTGAATACTTTTAACAAAAGTTATCTCCTCAGCCTCCTCTGATGTGTCCTTTCCATCCATGTAAATCTGTGTTCTCCTACTAAACTTTATCAGACAGCCTACAGCAGTTGTGTTTATTTGCAACGTCTACGGGCATGATGGGGGGAATGGATAAGTATTTACACAATAGCTAGATGATTTTAAGCCCATCTTTTTAGATGGGCATGTTCACTAAATCTGGAAATTATGGGACACAGTTCCTCCTTCTAGGTGTAAATAATGTGTTTCTTTCAGAAATTATATATGATTAGTTATTACAGTAAAAACAACAAAAATAAACACTGTTTAAAATGATTACTCTGCCCACTGCAAATGCACACACTTTTTATGAGAATGATGGAAAATTGTTATCCCATCATCATAATGATCCGCTCACTAAGATGTGATTCTGATTTTGCCTTTAAGTCAGATAATGGGTTTGAGCAATCAGTCCCTTTTTATTAATAACAACACATTTTAGTTTATTTTTGTATTTATTTCGGAACATTTCAAAACACCCAGGGACACAAAAGAAACCCCGAGTCAAGTAAAAACTAGAAGACAATGGCTACTTCACACAAGTGCTGAATCTTGTCTTAAAGAGTATTCTGGTGGCCAGAAAGGCGTGTATTTGTAAAACCGCGCTATAAACGTATGTTAAGCATGGCCCTCTGCCCATTAAAGGGACATTTGCTAAAAGCCGAGCTTCAGACACATGTGAGCTTGCATCCAATGCTCTTACTTTGGAAAGGCAGTTGGATGCCCTCTATAGGCAGCTCACTGTCCAGTCAGTTTGGAATTTTTACAAAGCACATGCTGGTCAAAGGATTATTATCTTAAAAACTACAAGATTTACAAAATAATATTTTTCCTTCATGTGTTTTACCTCATTTATCATTCATGAAAGGAATGTAAAGTTCACAACGCACCACTTAATAGATCCAGGCCAACATCCAGCTGTACTGCTCCAACAACATCAGAAGAAATACCTCCTTCCCAGTCTGGATACACACAACAAGACGCTGGATACACAACCATTTTTCACCTTTTCACATGCTGTACATGTGACATGATTCCAGGTTCATATCTGGATGGTTTTTATACACTAGTTTTTTGATTCTTTACATCTGTTTTAAACTTGGCGATACAAGATGATAACTATGAACGCAGACTGAGGATGAAGGACGCAAGATAGGTCACATGGATTCAGGTTTTCAGGGTAAAACAACATTTAGAAGATGAACTCGTTTTGTACAGGTTTAGAAATGATTTGTTACCAAGTTACCGAGGGTGCTCTCGGATCACTAGAAACATACTTTCATACTTTTTTTCTGGATCATAAAGATGCTATGCACGGGCTGCTACGTGGTAAATAAACAAGAGAGCAAATGAATCATGTTGGATGCTGAGACATTTTAAGCTCTGAACTGCAGCTGTCACCCAGTGAAATCTAAAACGTGTTTCACGTAGTATAATTCACTGCATACATGTAACCAAAAACCACAATAATGTCAGTACAGCATAAACAGAAAATAAAGTCAAGCATAACTTACAAACTGCAACATGGCTGAAAAGAAACATGTCAGCCTGCTTTTATTTTAGTCTGATAAAAGGACATTACAGAACCATGGACAGCGACAGCAAGAGACCTGCTGTGTGAGCGCTTCACATGAATGTTTTCATTCAAAAGCCGATGCTGAGGTCCATCACATCTCAGCCCACGTAGGTGCTATCGGTGCACCAGCTACCTGAAAGGCTCAGTGCCTTGGTGTAATTTGTTTATTGAATAATTATAACGATAGCCAAATGTCTCATCTTATTGCCTTACATGCATTTCTCTACAGTCCAGCAGCTTTAAAGAAGGTTTGTAATATTTTCATTTTCCATATTTTCAAATAAAGAAAAAATGAATAAAAAAGGTCCAAAATCCATACTGATATTGTGGAATTCCATCTGTTGTCCTATAAGCCTGTCAGCCTATGAACCTCCAATGTCCTAAAGCACAGACACTCTTATGAGTTTGTTGGAGGTCGGTACAGGATCAGGAAGCTTTCCTATAGGTTCTGCAGCTCATCGGTCAATGTTTTTAGCAGCCTACTTGTGCATCACCAGCTAATCAGCTGAATGACTTTAGGACAAGTCCACCAGCTGCTCTGAAGGTAGCTGTGGTGGTCCAGCAGTCTAAACGTTGACCTGTTTTCCTGAAGCACTGAAATAAGCCCATGACTGCTGATACTTGAGGATTCATCCCAGCATTCCATCAGTTGTGTATGCTGGCCTTCATGCTTTTCAACTAACCAAAGGTTTTATGGACTACTTGCTATTCTTGCATAATTTTGGGTCAGTAGAAAGTGAACTTTTCTGCCAGGCAGGGGGAAAAGGGGAAGACCACACAGAAGGTTTATGAATGTAGTGAAGGAAGACATGCAGAGGGTTGGTGTGACAGAGGAGGGTCCACAGGAATGAGGTGAGACGGAGGCAGATGATCCACTGTGGTGATCCCGGAAGGGAGCAGTAAAAAATGAAAAGAGGGAGAAAAATTGCATTGGAGATCGATACCCAACCGAGTGCCACAAAGAAACAAGGCTGGCCCAGAGATCAAAGGGCTCTGGGCTGAAAGATGTGGAAGATCTTCAAGTACTCCAACAGAGTACCATAATGAGATCCGTAATGGGACACGGCAGAGCGTGGAAATGTTAACACTCTGCATAAATGTCACAAGAATCATCACACTTATGAAATACTGAAACAAAAGAAGAGCAACGGACTGAAAGAGTGTCAAGGATGTCAGATCAGAGAAATTGTGCCATGATGTCAGCTGGTGAGTTCTAAAAAGAAGTGAAACAAAAGCAAAAATCGACTCTTTAAGGTTGGCGGTTTGAACTCAACGAACAGAGCTGAATAAAATCCATACACACAGCCTCAAGGCTTTTTAGGAAAACTGTAAACTTCTTGGAAGTATTTCCTGACCTTTCCTTATCCAATTCAGGGACAACACTCCACACAGTCCATCACAAGGCTGCTCATGCTCACGTGAACAGTCCATCCAGTCCAACTGACGTTTTCATAATATCCATTTAATTCTGAACACAGACGCTGTGGTGCATGGATTAATAACGAACCACGCAGGCGCTTCCAGTCAAATAAAGACTTGGTCAACAATGACAGCATACTTATCATACTACAGACTGTATTTATTCGTACCATTGTTTTCTATAAGGGTCCGGGACATGATTTCCCTAGTAGCAGTCTTAAGTTAGCGCTCTTTTTTCCACTCGGTTGAACTGGACCTGTGTTGTTTTCCTGTTATTGTTCATTTATAGAACTGTCTCCTGTGTGTTAACTTGGCGGTTTCCTATTTTACATCCTCCCATACATAAATTATGATATTCTGCTGCTGATAATGAAAGGCTCGCACAAAGAGGTTTTTTGGTCATTATTGAGCTTTTATTGCTTTATTTTCCAAAGATTGTGCGCGGAGATAACGAGGCCATTATTGGAAGTGAATAAAGCCCTGCTTTCGGTGCGGCTGACTGTGAAGAAGTACTTTGTGGATTTTTACTAAGTGTGGAGCAGTGATGTAATGTGTATGCAGGTATAAATATAGAGGTCTGGCTTTGCCGAGTCCATGCAGATCAATGTCGCTCCCGGGCGCTGCTGCCTGCTTCGCTCTGCTTCTCGCTCTTCTCTCTTCACTGGAGAGTCGAACACTGGGAAGCTGCTCTCACAGACGGAGCCGGGATGGGCTCTCTGACGGCCCTGCGGACCGTCCTGGTCCTCGGCCTGGTTGGCAGACTGGCAGGATGCGCTCCCGGCCTGAACGGCACGGCGGACCGCTGGGAAGCCCTTTACTCCCGGTCCCTCGCGCGAATCCAGGGGGAGAAGCGTGAGGAGAGCGGCCGGGACAGCGACTACCTCCTGGGCATTAAGAGGTTGAGGCGGCTCTATTGCAACGTGGGGATCGGTTTTCACATCCAGGTGTTACCAGATGGCAGAATAACGGGAGTACACAACGAACATCGTTACAGTAAGTTTGCGATTGATACTTTATTTCCTCACTGCTCTGACTCTGTGTTTGAACACGAAAAGCAAAGACAACTCCAGAGAAACGACTGAAGAAGTTCTTAGAACAGGAAGCAGTCACCTCAGCTGACTTATGATTGATCGCATTTTCTCTAACTGCGAATAAAACGGGGCCACACACCTGATCCGTCAGACCCGCGCACGTGTATAGTCTGACCCACGCCACAGTACCAACATCTGGAGCGTAGGATTGTGCTGCTGTGACCTAAAGGCTGGAACTAAAGTTAGGTCCAGCCTGCGGGCCGTTGCTCGTGCAACTTAAAATCATTTGCAGACACGAAGAATGACTAACTTCTGTTTACTGGCGGGGACGAAGACAGTGAAAGCTTGTTTTTATGTGTGTGACTATTCTAAGACGAGGCGTAAAACCTCAGGGATATACATTACATATACACTGCATATATTTACAGAAAACCCAAGCGAGGACTGGAAACCTCTGACACACTCTTTAAAATGATACATGGAACTAAAAGACGCTGTCGGTCAGCAGCCTGTCAAGGCCTGCTGAGGAAACGCATCAGCTGGCGTCCGATTAGCCTTCGCGTGTTTCTGATACCTTTTCAGATATGAGCTGTTCAGCGCTGGGTGTTCCAGGGTAGTGAGCCATGCTCCAAACACTTCTTGCCTCGCTGTCATTTCTCAAGGTGAAAATATTCAGTTATGTTCAAAAATGTCAGAGCTGGATTTCATTCAGCCTGACATGACATCACATATATTTAAAGGGAGTGTATTTGTTAGTGTTTTAACTTATATTAAGATCAGGGGCGCCACAATGTGCCAGGTGTTTTCTCTGGAATTCAAACATGTGTTTACCGAAATTTCAAATGTCAGTCTGACCATCCAGCTCACTTCCTTACACAAGCAGTAATGTCGGTGTGCGCGCGCGCACGTGGGGTAGCACGCGGGGCATCACACCGGCGTGTTGTAGTAAGTGTGCTGCTTTTTGTCTTCAGGTCTCCTGCAGATCTCTCCGGTGGAGAGAGGAGTGGTGACCTTGCTGGGCATTCGCAGCGGACTTTTTGTGGCCATGAACCGACGGGGAAAGCTGTACGGATCTGTGAGTGCACGACGAAAACTCTGATTATATCACACACACACACACACACACACACACACACACACACACACACACACACGCAGGCAGGTTTGATAAATAAGCTTATACACATTTAGTATCATGCAGCTCTGATGTCCGGCTTTATGAAGCGATTCTGAAGTCATGAATCCAAGCTGCTGTATACACCCAGTTCATTCTGGCCAGGATTAAAAAGTCTAATAATTGTTTCATTGAAAAATTGTATTGAAATCAGTGTCAGATAAGCAATAAAATATAATTTAATCAAATAATCAAATAACCAATTAATAACAATATAATTGGTTAAAATATTGGAATCGGCATACATGCAGTTAACAGCCTTTCTTCAAGTCGCCTGCACTGGAGGGATGGAGGCATTGTTATTTTCAAAGTATCCATCTATCAAGTAGATGCAGGACAAGTAGACCCAGATTATGCCAATGCAATGCATAACAGAGCCACGGGGTACCTTAACTGTAGGATTCATAGGCTAAGGTGTTTTTTTTAATCTTTTAATTTGTCATATTTATCCTACAACATCACTTGCTTAGTTTGGTGAGACAGAAGTAGTATGAAATACGTTGATAAAGAAAAGATTAAATTAAAACCTGGCTTACTGTTTACTGGTACAGTCACTGTTTACAGACTGTTCACATACAACAGGGAATAAGTATAAAAGGGGTGATGCTCAAGGTTTACAGTAACCAAATAAATACACCTTGGGTGCAGAGATGGTTTTTATAGCTTTAAATAAAAATAAATTATAATTATTTGTTAACATTTATAATTAGCAACGTGCAGCATAGCTGCTCTTAAAAACCCATTTTAATGCCAAATATTAAAAAACTGTATTCTAGATACCTTTTCATGAAAACATTTATCGTATTAGTGTAAAAGTCCAATGAACTGTTTGATTCTGACTTTTATCCAACACACACAGCTCACCCAGCTCCGGCTTCTATTGCTGATGGTGTTTTCTCAATAAAAGCCATGACCAGTTCCAGTTAATGTTTTCAATATTGTTCCAAAAGGAGGTACCAGACTGTCAGCTGATAGTATTTCTGATGATTTTGTTGGATGCTTTGCAGCTGATGAAGGTGCATTCACGGTCAGCATAAACGGTGTTTGGATGGTGTGTTTACCTGTGGGACTAGCTAAATGTTTAAATGCACCAATTCATCAAAAAAAAAAGTCATTGTTTTGTCTTGATACTGTAGGAACTTGAAAGAGACATAAATTTTGAGTATAAAGGTAACAAACCATCCGGACTAAGGATGGTTCCTTTATCAAGCCAGCTGTTGTTCCAGGTAAAATATTTAGATAGTAAAATGATGGGTTTGTACAATGACCAGCCCAATAACGTTTGTGAGGGGAATGTAAGACATAGTGAAATAAAAGCTAGTCCTCCACCTTAAATAGATGAAGTGTTATAGCATTTCAAAGTGGTTTTTTAACATATAAGTTTAAATAAGAATTGAAAAACTCAATGGCATGATTAAAACTAACTCTCCACTGCAGAGGTTATGTAGCGCCTTATCATTCCCAATCCAGTGAGCAAAACTGAACCAATCAGACCCTGGCGACCCGAGTCCTGTAGCACTCACATCATTCATCATTTCACAATGTATTTTTTTTTTTGTCTAAAATCTGCCTGAGATAGCTCCTGCACAATAACAGCCTTGCAGTCAGAAAGAAATCAATTGTTTGATAATGATCAGAATGAACAATGCAAACTGAAACACCCTCAGAAATGTCCCCACATCTTTGTTTTGTGTCTGCCTTCAAACAATCAGCATTTCCAATAATCTCTCTTCTTTTTCAGTTACATTACAACAACGAGTGTAAGTTCAGAGAGACGCTCCTTGCCAACAACTACAATGCTTACGAGTCAGTTGCCTACCCAAGGATGTTCATCGGCCTGAGTAAGAACGGCAAAACAAAACGAGGAAACAGAGTGTCACCCGCCATGACAGTGACACATTTCTTGCCAAGAATCTACTGGCCTCATAAATAGACTTCACCTCAATTTTGAGATTCGGGAAGAACTCCAACATGAGATGCACTTTCACTCCAAGTTTTATGCAAGTGTATCATATTTGATTTTCTGCTATGTATATATTCATTTTTTATATATCTGTGCCTGAAAGCTATTTTCTATTTAGGAAGTCTTTTTCACTGTTGGTAGGAGATGTAAAATGTGTTATTTATGCTGCTCTTGTCATTGGAAGATTTGCTTTTAATTAATTAATTTATTTATTTATTTTTCTGACACAGGAAAAGGGAACAGCAAAATACAACATTTAGAGCTTTAATATGTTCTTTTTTCTGTCTAAGCTTGAAAAAAACAAATGAGTTTCTTTGGTGTGAGAAACAGCACTGATTGCTTAATGCTCCAACTCTTTGTGTGAGGCACTGGACCCTAATTGAAACAGTATCATATTACTAAAGGAAGAGAGAGGATGGAAAGAGGGGAGAGTCTAAGACCCCTATCAACCACTTCTGGTCTGTTTATAGCTCTGCCAGCGGGATGAACTCTGAACTTTTGTGCTGTCAGTCTCAGTGAGATCTATAAGTCGCAAAGAGAGAGAGGGATCCTCTTTGATGTCATGTTAGTAGATAATATGGAGGTTTAAAGGCAAAGTGAAAAAGCTGAAATTGAAGTGGGATTCATGATACTGCATTTGTGTCTGTTTGGGCATCTGGTTACGCAGAGTGAAGGATTTTGGGTATGCAACCAAAGCATGCATGCACATAGACCAAAGGGGATGACACTGTGCATAGGTTGAAAGCTAACTGGTTGAGTAGTGTGCCTGAACAGCAAAGGAAGCAGCAGTGAAGTTCACCACATAGTTGCCTGAAAAGCAAGGGCAGTGCCTGAATAAACTCTTTTCAACACCAAGGTCCTTTACTGCATTTTTATGCAGACTTGCCGATCTTCTTTTAAGCACATGCATTTGCTCTTGCCCTGGTGCGTAACAGCACCAATGCAAAAGAACACTTTAAGGTCTCTTCACCACTCTGGGAACTCTGAGAAGAGGTCACAGTAGGACTATTGTTTATCTGATGTAGATGTCTGATAGATATGTAAAAGGGAAGTAAGGAGTGGCTCTGATAGGTTTAGGACAGTGTCAGTCTCTTGTCTCCACTAATACTGTATGTCAAGACTATCCTACTTTTATAAATGAAAAATAACTCAGGTAAAAAAAAAAGTACTTTCCAGTAATTGTCACTTACAGTTACTGTGTAAAAGTATTTCTTTAAAATCATTTTTCTTCCACATTTATTTTATGTATGATGATGTAAAACTTTACAGTCTTTTTAAAGTTTGATAGTAATATTGATGTCAATCTACTGTTAGTAAATACACCACTTAAAAAATGAAAGGAACACTTCAGCTGTCAATAGGAAAAAAATCATGCTGATATGGACTGGGTAATGTGTTAGGAATGAAAGGATGCCCGATTGTTTGATAAAAATGAAAATTATGAACATACAGAGGTCTGCATTCCCTAAAAATCAAAGTGAAAAACAAAAGATCCAGCACGCTAGTCCGTTTTGACGAAATGTTATTGCAGCAACCTAAAACGGTACTCAGTAGTTTGCATGGCTCCCATGTGCGTGTATGCATGCCTGACAATGTGCTACTAATAACAGATTAAAGATCTCCACCGAGATCTGGATCAGGACATCACTGAGCTCATGGGCAGCCTGAGGTGCAACCTGGTGACATTGGATGGACTGAAACAAAACGACCTAGAGGAGTTCTATTGGATTTAGGTCAGGCGAGCGTGGGAGCCAGTCAGTGGCATCAATTCCTTCATCCTCCATGAACTGCCTGCATACTCTCACCACATACAGCCGTGCTGTCATACACCAGGAGGAACCCAGACCCACTGCACCAGTGTAGGGTCTGACAATGTGTCCAAAGATTTCCTTCTGATACCTAATGGCAGTCAGGCCTGTTCTTTGCTCCATGGATATGCCTCCCCAAACCATCCATGGTCCTGGACAGTGAGCATGGGGCCTACCAGTAGATTTCTCATTGTGTGTCAAAGACATTCACACCAGTGGCCTGCTGAAAGGTCAATTTGTAGCCTTGGCAGTGCTCATCCTGTTCCTCCTTGCACAAAGGAGCAGATACCGGTACTGCTAATGGGATAAACCTTCCAGTCATTCTTGTTTTGGGGGTTGTCTCATTGTTGCCCCTCTAGTGCACCTGTTGTTAATTTTATTAACACCAAAGCAGCTGAATCTGATTAACACCGCCCTCTGCTACTTAACTGGCCAGATCAACGTCCCAGATGTTTAATTAACTTGATGTTATACTTGGATTAAAAAGTGCTCCTTTCATTTTTTTAAGCAGAACTAAACTAGCTGCACTAAGTGAGCTAGTTCAGCTTAGTCAGTGGCAGTCCGTCGCGGGCCTACTAGCTAGCTAGCTAGCTTAGTGCAACAACTGAACTAGCTGCACTAAGCTAGCTAGTTCAGCTTACTGCAGCTAGCTAGCTAGCTTAGTGGAGCATTTCATCAACCAGCATGCCTGATGCTCCCTGACCAACATATGTGCTGTTGGTTTAATTTATGTTATCCTGGGATAATGGCATCAGGTGAACCACAAATAGGCCAACAATGTTGTACACCTTAGCTTATTAAAGTAATCTAAACAAAGATACAATAGTACAAGTGAGACTAAGAGGTAGTGAGGTTGGTTTTCTGGTGCATTTCACCAGCTGTTATTTCCACATGCAGTGCTAATAAAAGAAAAAAATTCTCTCCATCCATCCATTTTGGAGAAAATGGTCTGAAAAACTCTGTCGCTCTTCTGGAACAATCTCTACTTCCTTTAAGTGAATTTGTCTTTTATTTTCCTCTGTATCAACGACCACTTTCAGGTGTTGATTTAATTTCCTGTAGCATTAGCTGTCCCGCCTGGCTCAGTTTTGTGTCTATTTTTGCCAAACCCTGTCTTTCTTGCATTTGTCTCTGTCTCTCTATGTCCCTGTAGTTGACTGCAGCTCAGCACTGTTGGTCATGTTGTCCTAGTTGCTCCTTGTCACGTTCCAGCTATCTTTACCCTGTGATTTACTTTTAGAAAGGATAATCATGGAAGAAATATTTACAGACAGCTGTTGGACTGTACTATATGCTAGGGCCAGTAACCCTATATTTTTCTTTATATATTTTGTAAATATAACCTCTGAGTAACTGAAGGTGCTGGTATTCCTTTCAGGGGGGAGGGTCAGATTTAGAGCAACTGAGTGGTGTGGTGGATACTGCCTGAAGGCAAAAGGTGCTTTTAATTTGTTCACTTTTATGCAGTCATTGAACAACGTCACCAAACATCATTAACCAAGTTTAACAAACACAGAGGAGAAAGGCGAAAGGTGACCTCTTCTTACTTGCTTTAGTTTTTCTTCTCTTGCCTGTTTTCTCATTCAGCCTCTTTGTTGAGAGCTTTGAAATCTCAGTTTCAACATTCCACATACGATGGCGCATACTGTAACCAACTGATTGCTGTTTCAGATTAAACCATTTTCATCACTGGGTTACGGAGCCTTCAGTAGAAGTTACGCTTGATTAGCACATGGTAGAGTCACACTGAATGCACACGCTAACTACTGCAAATAGTTCAGGCAAATATTATGCAAACTGTGTCTGTTGTGGCTTTATGTCCTGATCTCTGGAAACAGGCATTAATCCCAAGACTGACCGAAGCACTGCAGCATCGCTGTGATTTACACTTCAAAAGAAGAAACTACCAAGCCACTCTCTGCTTGTCCTCAAACATATGTTATAGTGTGATGTTTGGACATCCATTTGGATGTCAAAGTTGGACAGCAGTGATTTAAACAAGTATACTGCTGTGCCTGTTGCTCTCAGCTAGGTTAAGTATTCTCCAGTATCACTGATTTGCATGGCAGGCATTATATGTACAGTAAAATACCTTTCTGCCTTGTGTCTCTAACCTAGGGCCATCCCTCTGTCCCACCTGCTCATTTGATTATCCAAGCAACAGCAGTGCAGCCTGCAGCTAGTACAAAGTGAGCAAATACTTTTTCACAGCACTGTAAACTCTGGTTAAAGTATGCAAATTGCTCACAGCAGGTTGAATATAAATGCGGACATGTGGCCTGTCTCAGACTGAGGCATTGATTTTATTTATGGTCGAAAGCAACCGAACCCCCACATTTCTATGCATGTTACTGTTAAAGTAGCTTTTATTTTTATTCTTATTTTATCAATGTGGCTCAATCCATTCAGATGTAACTAATTATGCTTTTGGGACTGGATTTCTTTGTTCAAACTGGTTTATCATGAAGTACCAAACTGGTGATCTGTGATTGTGTGCTGCTTCTGGGCCACTGTTCAGAAAAAAATGATGACATGATCCTGTACTATGTTTGATTCTGAGTCAACCTACTTTTATCCGATGTCCTGTGGTTTTATACAGGACTTAATAAAGTATACTACAGTATGTGCTGTACACATGGTTAAAGTCCACCGTAAGGGGAAACCCGATCCCCTAAATGTAAAGTTTATGATTGTCTGTACTGTATAATAAGCTTTGATCAATCTGACATTCACATATAAAAATGTAGTATGTATATATGACATGGCATTACACGCGTGTATCCATGTTGTGGGGCAAGTACATAAAACATAACATTTTGTCTCCTCTCTGCAGTAGTTTGTGGCTCATCTTGTTTAATTTTCATGGCCTCTGTGCTCATTTGTTTTGGTTTCTCTTTCCCCTCACACACCCTAACTGCTCACAGCAGATAACCACCACTAGCCCAGTTCTCCTGAAATTGTCTTCCTGTTAAAAAGGAGTTCATTTTCTCCCGCACTGCCATGTTCTAGGTCAGGGATGATCAACAGATCATTGTAGCTCCATCAATAATAACACAGTACCTTTATCACACAATGTAAAGGAAGTGGAGATATGATTGGGTGGTAACGCTGAATTAAACTGCAGACCTCTGTAAAATACAGGAATTAATTTCTACTTTCCAGGCAATTTCTGCCTTTTTGTTAATATTATCGAAATCCTATTTGTTTCTAGAGGTGTTAAAAGCTCTACACCAGGGTGTCAAACTCATTTTAAATCGCGGACCCACAGCCCACTTTGATCTTAAGCAGGCGGGAGCAGTGAAACTCTCCTTTCTGTCAGTGTAAAGAAGTTACATATTTAACTGTGACAAAGGAAGAAATCTGTCAGCACGACCCTTTGGACGTAAATTGTAAGAAATAAATGTGTAAAATTACAGAAAAAGTCCTGGTAGCTCATTATCCATACTGTCCAGTTTGTTTGTTTTTCTTAGTCATAAAAAACAGACATTTCTATAGCAGAAAGTGAAAAACAGAAACTTTTCGGTTTTTCATAATGTTACAGAGGGTCGTTTTGTAATTTGGGGTAGTGTTTGACAGTTGACATTTCTTCGGTATTGCATAGCTGAAATTAGGCTTTCTTGTCAGAGGTCATTTTGGGGAAAAAAATTAAAAAATGAAAATAAAGAAACAGGCCGACAACAGTAGACTGGTGTGTAATAAGTTGAGTTTTGGTCCAAGAGTGACGAAACCTGCAGTTTCACAGTCCGTGTACGTGCCCTCAGGTGAACGATCCATGCTTTGTGGAATTTTTTTTACCTGCTCTTTAATCATTTGTAGTTTTAGCTGTTAGTGGTTCTTGTAATTGTTTTGTGGTCTTATAGCTGAGTTTTGGACGTTTCTGTGGATAACACACAATTCTATGTTTTTACTAACAGATCTGGCGGTACATTACGTAAACCACATGTTCTCCCTTTAAGGCATTGGGGATCAACAGGATAACTGTTTATTACCGTGAGGTTTTTATGAGTAGGAAAAACTGTAAAACTTGTGAAAATACAGGTAAAAGTCCAACATTTCTGCTTGTGCCTGTTTGTGGTGAGCACCAGATCAAACAAGTTAAGAACTATAAATGGGTTCAAGTGCACATTCAGGCCTGTGAGACTCACTCACACTGAGCCATGGTTCTGTGCTACATGTAGACATTTCTGTATCTCTGCCAGTCAAAGACACTTTGGATAGTTTATTGTACGTAATACTCAATACTGAACTTACATACATCGGGTTTAAGGCCTGGACAAGTTTTGAAACCTTTTGTCCTCCACAATGGCAAATGGCTGAAAAATAAAACTGTGATTGGCTGCATGGTGTGCCACACCTGACTGCATGGATTCTCAGCAGGGCTGAAGATTCGGCTCCCACATACTGATGGGCCATTAACAACTGACATATGAAACTACCCCAAATGCTGGATGTTTGACACCCCTGCTCTTCACTATATGGCCCTACTGAAATATAGAAACTCACTTTTTCCAGTGATCATCTAAAAAAGGCCAGTTGAGATTAGAGATGGACCAATCCGATATCACGTATCGGTATCGGTCCGATACTGACCTAAATTACTGGATCGGATATCAGAGAGAAATAAAAAATGTAATCCGATCCATTAAATATCACGAAAGCACCTCACAAAACTTGCAACACCGCGTAACTCGCCTCATAACCTTAGCCAATCGAAGCAGTATGCATCACGTGATAGAGCGGCTGTGACGTGCCAGGTCTGGTTGAGCATGTGGAGCTTCGCTACCAACCCGGCATTTCATCTCTGACAGAGTGATCCCGAGAGAAGTAAAGCAAGTGTGTAAGTTCATCTCTGAATGTTTGTAAAGCATTCCTGCGTTAAGCTTAACAAGCGATATATGGAGCGACTGCCTCTTCTTGCTGCTACTTCAATCATGAAACTGATCAATGATCAGCTGATCGTCTCTCTTCTTT